AGCGGCCCACCGCCACGACCACCTCCTCGCCTTCCTGCTCCTACACTCTAAAGACGCCGTCTATGACAGCTTCAGGGGGGTGAGTAATATTTTAATCGGAATGAAAAAATTCTACTGGGGTTTTTCTCTCTGCCTTTTATTTTATATATAGTGAACAACAAATATTTTATGCGTTGGTTTGAATTTTTGACTCTTTAATGTATATTTTGCGCCATAATTTATTATTAATAGCATATTCCTAAACGATGAGATTATTGTTGTAACCCCCTCCATTTTTAGTAGGATGCGCGATGTCAGATTTAGCGGGGGACATACTTCGTTTGATACTCCATCATTTGTATTTTATCTGAATATAAAATAATACGTGCTATTAGTTATATTTATTTAATGTAGTAATCATATAACAATATAATTGTAGAGATCAGTAGTTTCTGTGTGGCTCTCGTCAAACAATGTGAATGAGGATAAAGTGGCATGATGGGAATGTAGTGCACTCTGTTGCCACAATCCGAAACTTCCAGTACGACGTAAAGTATTGTTCAAAATCAATACCTCGTGTCCACCTGCTATTGATATGGATATTGCTTCCGATTGCTCTAACACTTCTCCTTGCGAAAAATCTCTAATAATTAACACAGCAGCGAATGTTTGAATCGATTTTCCTTACCGGCGGTACCTGTGGTGAGTGCTATTCTCTTGTAGAAATTCACGCTTCTGATTGGGCAGCACCTATTCCACTACTTTCGATTACGATTTAGCATATCCCGGTAATTCAAATTTTATAAGAGCGCTCATGCAAATTTCATTCTCGTGCTAGTACTTTCCTTACGATCAATCTGCCTTAGGAGGTGATTGTCAATTATTTGTATGAAATGATTTCCCTAAATTCGGAACTTCTTGATTACATTTAATAAGCTGCAACTATTTACAAGTGTTGGTGTTTTATTTCTGCACGTTAGGCATTCTGACGCAAGAAATTCACTTTTGATCGAACGGCACTGAATACTAAGTCATCAAATGTTGCAATCGAATTTTCCACGCTTTCGTTTATTCTCTGACGTTTGTATTTGATGGACGGATTCCCAGTCAGCTCAGTGATTTGCTTCACCGGTGACGACGGATTTCTATGCAATAGCGAATTAAAAACATTCAGAACGAAGCGCTTTTCGCTACTTCGAAGAAACACATGTGTTGAATATTTGAAGGGCCATCCACACTCTCACACTTTCAAAAACGAACTGAATAGGCAGAACTGCCAGGCCGATCGGCGGGGGTCGCCGCAGTCCACGAGGCCACGCCCACGCCGACCCGTGTCGCATCACTCGTAACCTTTACGCCGCAGATACCCCGACATTCAGTTCACAATGGGCCTCCGTTCTCGAAATCGTTGCGACAGGTTTGATGCGAGAATTTATACAACGAACGATGGCTAGAAATATTAGTTCTAATACAGAGAACGATTTTACTTATGCCGTCAGGATCCTGACTCCAGCAATGCTCACACAACGAACCAATGGAATCCTTTTATCACGTGCATGTGTATGCATTAGGAAAGTTGTCTTAGGGTAAAAGGGGAATACTAATGGCTGTCAACGCGATGGTCTTTTGCAAAGGCTTTGAAGGCAATTATTGCAATGAAATATTTTTATGCGTGTTCATAATAAAGAAAACTGTGCTTGTTTTAGGGTTTAACAGGTGGCGCAAGCATGTATCGAAACTTTCAACTACATTCTTCAGCGCCAGTCGTTTTAGCGATTGGACGAATACCTGAAATTCGCAAATGCAAGAAAGAAAACAAAGAACGTGATCGATTTCCACTGAATATTGACTTCAAGAATGATCGGGAGAGGCGAAAACTTCAGTATGGAAATTCAGGAAGTCCTAAAATTGTGAAGGACTCTCAAAATGACTTGCCAAAAGACCAGTTACTACAAAATAATATCTTGAAAGGCTTCAAAAGCCATAATAATCCGAACGAAAGACATACAGGGAATAGAAACTTAGCTAAACCGACACTAACTCATTTGACAAACAAATCCAGCCGCAAAGGCAACTGGGTAGGTGACTGCTCAATTCCTATACATCTTGAGACAAATTATTTATCTCAATGCAACATGTTCTACAACAACCATTCAGATAATAACTTTCATGAAGATATTTATGTTGATCATAATTTACAGGACCATTGGACACCAAAAAAACACGATGAATATCTAGGCCTGAAGCGGAAACCACAGAAACCTATCGAGAAACTGGGAGAGGACGATCTGCAGAAGCTCCAGTATGCCTCCACTTGCGCTCTTCACACTGGGTGAGCCCACTACCCTGCTCCCCCCATCGGGGGCCACGACATCGACGCCAGCGCCCACCAGCCGCCCCGCCCCCTCCCGTTTCGCGCTACAGCAGCCGCGGGAGCCCTGGCTGGCGCCTGCCAGCAGCGCGGCCAGCACGCGCCGCCCCGCACGCAGCTGCGCCCCAGCCCACGCCCGCCCTCACCGCACTCGCTCCCGCCGCCTCGTTTGTTCCTCCTTGAGCTTTCTGCAGATCGTCCTCTCCCAGTTTCTCGATAGGTTTCTTGTGGCTTTCCGCTTCAGCCGTAGATATTCATCGTGTTTTTTTATGGTGTCCAATGCGTCCCTGTAAATTATGATCAACATAAATTATCTTCATGAAAGTTTTATTATCTGAATTGTTGTTGTAGAAACATGTTGCCATTTGAGATAAATAAATTTGTCTCAAGATGTTAATAGGAATTGAGCAGTCACCTACCAGTTCCTTTGCGGCAGGATTGTTTGTCAAAATGAGTTAGTGTCGGGTTATAGCTAAGTTTCTATTCCCCTGTATGTCTTTCGTTCGGATTTATTATTGGCTTTTTGAAGCCTCTTCAAGGCATATTATTTTGCTAGCTAACTGGTTCTTTTCGCCAAGTCATTTTGAGAGTCCTTCACAATTTTAGACCTCCTGAATTTCCATTACTGAAGTTTTCGCCTCTCTCCGATCATTTCTTAAGTCAATATTCAGTGAAATCGATCACTTCTTTGTTTTCTTTCTGCATTTGCTATTTCAGTATTCGTCAATCGCTAAAACGACGTGGCGCTGAAGAATGTAGGTTGAAAGTTTTCGATTACATCTTGCGCCACCTTTGAAACCCTTAAACAAGCACAGTTTCTTTATTATGAACACGCCATAAAAATATTTCATTGCAATATTCCTTCAAAGGCCTTTGCAAAAGACCATCCGCGTTGACAGCCATAGTATTCCCCTTTTACCCTAAGACAACTTTCCTAATGCATACACATGCACGTGATAAAAGGATTCCATTGGTTCGTTGTGTGAGCATTGCTGGAGTCAGGATCCTGACGGCATAAGTAAAATCGTTCTCTGTATTAGAACTAATATTTCTAGCCATCGTTCGTTGTATAAATTCTCGCATCAAACCTGTCGCAACGATTTCGAGAACGGAGGCCCATTGTGAACTGAATGTCGGGGTATCTGCGGCGTAAAGGTTACGAGTGATGCGACACGGGTCGGCGTGGGCGTGGCCTCGTGGACTGCGGCGACCCCCGCCGATCGGCCTGGCAGTTCTGCCTATTCATTCGTTTTTTGAAAGGTGTGAGAGTGTGGATGCCCTTCAAATATTCAACACAAATGTTTTCTCGAGTAGCGGAAAAGCGCTTCGTTCCTGAATGTTTTTAATTCGCTATTGCAAAAAATCCGTCGTCACCGGTGAAGCAAATCACTGAGCTGACATTGGAATCCGTCCATCAAATCAAACTCAGAGAATAGACGAAGCGTGGAAAATTCGATTGCACATTTGATGACTTAGTATTTTCAGTGCCGTTCGATCCAAAATGTGAATTTCTTGGGCCGTCAGAATGCCTAACGTGCAGAAATAAAAAACACCAACACTTGTAAATAGTTTGCAGCTTATTAAATGTTAATCAAGAAGTTTCCGAATTTAGGGGAAATCATTTCAACAAAATAATTTGACTAATCACCTCCTAAGCAGATTGTCTCATGCATCATAGTACTAGCACTGAGAATGAAATGTTGCGTCTATTATACTCAAAGTTAAATCCAAACCGGATTTCATAACCCCTTTATAAATTTTGAAATTACCGCGGATATTCTATAATCCGTTAAGTCGAAGACGTAGTGAGATTACAAGGTCTCGCAATCAGAAGCGTGAATTTCTACAAGAGAAATTAGCACTCAAACCACAGTTACCGCGGTTAAGGAAAATCGATTTCAAACATCGCTGCTGTGTTAATTATTAGATATTTTTCGCAAGGAGAAGTGTATAGAGCAATCGGAAGCAATATCCATATCAATAGCATGTGGACACGAGGTATTTATTGAAACAATACTTTACGTCTACTGGAAGTTTTCGGATTGTTCTTTTTTTTTTTTTTTTATGGCTCAAACAGAGCTGCCACTACAATTCCCACATGCCACTTTTATCCTCATTCACATGTCTTGACGAGAGCCACGACAGAGGAAACTACTGATCTCTATCAATTATTTGTTACATGATTACTACTATTAAATAAAAATTAACTTAATCAGCACCGTATTATTTTATATTCAGCATAAAATACAAATGATGGCAGTTAGTATCAAAACGAATATGTCCCCCGCTAAATCTGACATTCGCGCAATCCTACTTAAAAAAAATGGAGGGGTTACAAAAACAATAAAATCTCATCGTTTTAGGAATATTTGCCTATTAATAAAATAAATGATGCGCAAAAAATACTTTAAATTAAAGAAATCGGAAAATTCAAACCAAAACGCATAAAAAATATTTTTGTTGTTCAACTAAATATATAAAAATGAAAAGGCAGGAGAGAAAAAAAAAACCCCAGTAGGAATTTTTTCATTTCCGATTTTAAAAAAAATTATTTTACTCCCCACCCCCTGAAAAAAGCTTTTGTTTTCCATTTAGGACGGCGGGTTTCTTTAAAATTTCCCTCTCTGGCGTCGCGGGT